GCAGAGGGTCACGTTCTCTTCTACTCCTTTACTGCTGAAATCCCCAAATTTTTCCAGCACAGTGTTAAGTTTTCCTACTCCAACAAGCCTGGGAGAGAAGTAGCCCAATTAGGATACTAAATGGCAATGAACCTTATTGTCACAGACTTTCATAAAGAGTGACTCATATCACTATTTAAAAACCTCATGAAAACATCAGACTTCTCATGGCGTACGTCTCAGTTCCCTGGTCTGTTCCTGGCGCGTTCCTTGGCTCTCTCCTTCCTCTCCCAGGCAGAGCAGCAGTGCAGCCTCCTGCCAGGGGCCTGTGCAAAGCGCTCCACTGACAGGGCTCAAAAAGGCAGAGGAATTTTCCCTGTCTCCCATGCACCACTACTGTCTCTTTTTAATGATGAAGGGTGCAGGAAAACAGAGAGGTGCGATTCCTCATTGCCGTATGGCACCATTTAATCCAGTATGAGGAATCAAAGCAGATCCCTTGCTCCCTCTTTGCACTGGCATCTTCAGTGACCATGCAGAGCAGAAAGTAAAGATAATTTGTTCCCCTGAGTTTCTGTTCTCGCTTTTCTTAGGGTTTTGCATTATCACTTGTTGCCATAGTATCAACAGCAGCAGCCAAGTTCTCTGTGGGCCTCCTGGGACCTGTTTCTTGTCCCATGGAGGGTTTTGACTCTAATTTGGGCAGGACTGGCAGGGGGAGGGGAAGAAGAATTTTCTGCCTCCTAATTTTTGCCGAAGGTGCTGCCGGTGACAGAGATGCTGTTCCTTAGAGACAGCCTCAGCCACGTGGTCCTCTCACTACCAAGATCCCTGAGCACTTCCCCATCCAGTGCTGAACGCAGGGCACTGGATCAAAGTTAAGAGTGCATGAGAATGAGTAGAAACGGGTTGAGATGCTCATTGGTTCGTGATGCTTTTCCCCTTCCCTCGTGGGACAGTCCTATGCTGACGACACTACTTTCAGCTGAAGTGGCCACAGCTCCCATATTGAAAACAGACACTCGCTGGAGGAGAGGATTTTGGCCCTCCCTAAGACCCTGCTCTCAATACCTGACTGTCATCACAGGGAGAGACAGTAGTTGGACAGTTTGTTGAGCCAAGACACTAGGGCCATAAACCCCTCCACTCCAAGGGGATCGGAGCCCTTGGCTGAAGACTGCCACTATATTTTTCAAGGATCTTAATTTTGGTGGCACTTGGGGATGAAGGGTGGGTCCGGCTGGGAGAACACCAAGCTTTCATAGTTCTTGTGGCAAAGAAGAGCTGCATGTTTTCAGCGTGCCTGAAAACATAAGCCAGAGAGTCTGCAAAATGGGATTAAGACAAGCCTATACTAGAAGTATATTGCAAGGTCTTGTTAAGCATTTCTGAATTGTCATGTAAAACAGGGGCTACAGAAAGAGAGTGTATCAGCATAAATACATTTTTTTTTATATATACACACAGCACTTGCAGGCTTCCAAGCTCCGCGCAGAGCCAACATACCGATAACATATGGGTTTAACAGACCTGCTTCTGTGTTACGTGTTTCTAGTTCCCACATCCAGATTCCAAGCACTTGCGTGTTTCCATATAGGCAGCTCTGATTTACAGCTGCTGTGTATGGTGCCATTCAGGGAGGTGACAATAACGCAGAGTATGTTGGTTCAGGCAGTGCGCACGGCCCACAGCAGAGTTCGCTTGGAACAGGCTGATGGGTGGAAACAGACTTTCGTCTAGCTTCAGCCAAAGACAGTGGCTTACAGATCCTTTTCTCTTAAGGACATAATATGTTTATTTGTGGATACATATGAGCGATCAGATTGTGTATATAGATTTGATTTAATGCACAGATGCAATCAAAACAGCATGACTAGAACAACTACGTAATAGTTACATCTGTAGCCTTCTCTCAAAGCTGGTCCCTTGCTTTAGGGGCTGTGTTTCTTTCGTAACAATTGATGGTATCAACAAGTATCAGACAATATCCCCGTTACTCAGGAAAGGTAAATGCTAATCTATGCAAGCCGAGCTCATGTGACTTATCAGTTACTATATATAGTTGTTTTCAGGCACTGATTTAGGCAATCTGGCAGATTTCCTAAGCCTTTGTACAGATTCACTACTGAAATGCAAAATGCAAAATACAAAATATGTGAGCAAAGCAGAGGAAAAAAATCTGACAAGGCTAAAATGTTCTGGAGCGTCAGTGAGGACCCATCCCTCACAACCAGCAGATGCACAACACTTACCAGCAGGTGAGGATTCAGCCAAAACCCCCTGCCTAAGATGGCCTCTACAGCACACACTCATAACCACATCACTGACAAAGGGAGCAAACAGAATTCAAAGGGCACAAGGACTTGTCACGATCCCTTGCTCACGAGGGAATTTAACGCTTCTCCCAACGTAGCTATCTGTACAGAGAAATATCCCCAAAGAACTATGCCTGTGCAGAGGAAGAGACTCTGTACAGGGAGTTTGTTTGCAAACACACTCATGTTATAAGACTAGAGAGCATATGACCGAGTTTGTGACATCTTTAAGAAAATATTCTGGATAATACGCACTGGAAGAAATTAGAGTAAAAAATTGCTGATGCAAAACAAACTCTTCAGAATAAGACTTCCTCCTCTGAGACCTTTTTTAACTGAATAGGCACAGCCAACTAAGATATGCAGGTAGCAAATCTAAGGGAGAGCACTATTTTATATAGCCCTAAAACAAGTCTCCCCACAGCTCTCCAGTGACCACCCTTGCGGGTCCCATTCTGCCTTCTGATCTGCCCATAAGCAGCTGGCGATACAGAAGAGGAAGATGTTTAAAGCAGAGCAAGCTAGCATTTAAATCAGTCAAGACCCGAGAGCCTGAAACTGTCCCCTGCAATCTTCTGCCTGTCTCCCGCTCCAGACAGCCTCTGCTCCCACTGAAAGGAAAGAGACACTTCCCCTCCATTTCAGTGAGAGGCGGATCAGCTCCTCGGGGACTCAGCAGATAATTGTCAAGTTGCCTGCCAGAATTTCCTCCTGACAGTCATAACTCGAAAGCGTTGGAAGAAAATGTCTGCACCTGGGCTGTGGAGTCAGCGTGTTCAGCGAGCACAGATCTGAGGCAGGGAAAGGCTAAGTGGGACCCACAGCTGGATGGGGCGATGACTATTTATGTCCACCCCAGAACCAGATACTCCAGATGCGGGTGTACAAAGGACTGTTTTCCTCTGCCTTGCCAGCAAAAACCAAAGGCTCCCTTCTGCTCTAGCTACTAACTACAAACCAAGCTGAGAGGCAGATTACAGGCAGGGCAAGTAGGATTCATTTCATTTGATCCGTGCAACAACAGCTCTGTTCTGCATTTCATGCTTACCCGGAGGGGACTGTCCAGGTCCTTGTGCGTGGGCTGGGAGAGGGGTCCGGACTGGGTCCCGGGCTCTCCCCGAAGGACAGCAGCTGCCCGCGAGTGGGACATCCCAGGGCTTCGCCCGGGAGGGCGGCC